CATGACCCTCTCTCTGTTCCGGAATGTGCTCCAGGATGGAGAAAACAGTGACGGGTTCAGCTCCACTGCCCCGAGGCTGGCTGAGGCGCTCCGGCCAGTCTTTGACAACGTAAGGCTCTGTGCCCCCAGCCACAGGCACTGGGTGCTGCCAGGAAACTTGGTGGGCCTGATGGGCCTGGAGCAGGCAGTGCTGATGTCTTTGTGTCTTCTTTGGCCCCAGGACAACAGCCACGTGCAGCTGCTCTCCATTCGCCTCTTCCGAGAGGTGATGGAGCTGCTGGCGGAAGAGGGAACAGAGCCCTGGGAGATGCAGGTGCGCCAGAGCCTGGTCCCACTGTTCTTCCGCTGGCACGACGAGAACCAGCGCGTGGCAGAGGTGAGCACTGCTGGGCTCTGGTGTCCCCGTGGCAGGGGCTGGGCTGCCTCCTGCCCTGGGGCCTCAAGGCCTCCAGCCTCCTGCTGGCCTTGGAGCAGGGACACAGGGGCTGTGCCCTGGGCTGCGGTGCCATGTCCCGCTCTCTGCTGCTCTGCAGGCCGCTCGGGAAGCACTGCTCTGGGCTGCAAGCTTCCTCAAGAGGAAGGACCTGGAGCAGCTGCTGAAGACAGAGCAGCCCTTCAGGTTCTGTGATTGCCTGGTAAGGACGAGTGCAAAGGCCCAGCCCCAGGCTGGAGAAGCCCCTGATGCCCAGCGTGTGGGGCTGGCCCTGTGCACTGCTGCCCACTGCTGCAACCACAGACACCCCCCTGCTCTCTGCAGATGGAAAAGGACATGAGCCGAAGGGGCGAGCACCTGCAGCAGGCCCTGCCCTACCTGCAGAGCCCACAGGAGCCCCTGCGAGAGGCGGCCGTCAGGTTCATGGGTGAGCCCCAAGGCCGCGGTCCCTCCCCGCCCCGCTGCAGCTCGGCCCCAGCCCCGGCTGCTGCAGCGGCAGCAGGATGCGGCCCAGGGATGTGCTGGGGAGCCCCGAGTGCCCTGGCGGCTGCTGCCGCCCTCTGCCAGCCCAGCCCCGGGGCCTCCCGATGCGGAGCCCCTGGGGCCCTGACAGCCTCTCTCTTCCCAGGGGTGGCCGGCTGGCACATGAGGGAGCGGCAGCAAGACCTGTGGCCCATCCTCAAGGGTGAGTGAGGGCAGCGGGGCCTCCCTGGGGGCTGCCGGGGACCAGCACACACCCTGGGCAGGGAGCTGCAATCCCTGCCCTGCCTGCACAGGGCTCTGCTCCCTGCACACCGTGGCCAGAGCGCACACACATGGCATGGGCAGGGTGCCCATTGGTGCCCAGCACCTTCCCGCTCATCCCCTTGGCCCCTGCTCCCTCCTGGCCGTGCCAAGACCTGCCCGGCATGGCCCTGGCAGGAGGGGCTCCTGGGGTCCCTGCACAGCTGCGCTCTGACCCCGGCTCCCTTCCTCTCTCTTCCAGCCCTTACAGCCATGAGTGAGGACGACTGCCCCTCCGTCTGCAACATGAGAGCTGCACTCGTGGCCACTTACAGCCGTGCCATGAGAACTCCACCTGCTCCGCTGAGACGACCAATGTCCCTGCAACAGCCCCCCACCACAGACCAGGGACCACTTCTCAGCGTGGCTGCAGCTCCAGCTGATGCTGGGCCCAACTGAGCCAGCCCGCAAGGCCAGCCAGCTCCTGGCCTCTGCAGCCCCAGGGACGGCTCCCTCCTTCCATTCCCTTCTCCTGACCCCACTTCATCCTTCCCCTACCCCTGATGTTAATAAACCCTGGCTTTCTCCCCCTTATCTGTGTCTTGGTGCAACTGAAAGGGCACAAACCCTCAACCCTGCAGCTCACGGGCCCGCTCCTGCCTCTCTTTTCCCCTTGTGCCGTGGGCACACACCCCCAGGGCACTTCAGGCTGCAAAGGGGCCTGTCCTGAAGGGCCACTTGCACAGCATTCTGCACTCGAAGATCTTGCTGATCTGCAGTGGTGGGTGTGCTGCAGTTCCCCAAAAAAACGCAAGACTTGGGTCATCCCTGGGGAGGCAAGGGGCCTGCTTCCCAAGGAAAGTGCTTCCCAAGCAGTTCTCAGGGAGGGAGGCACAAATGTCTCCCTCTGGTTCTCTGTGGTCCTTTCACTCCTTGTGTCCCATTGCACTTTGGAGAGGGGCAGGGCAAGGGGCACTCATCAGCCTGTGGGGCAAAGCCACCCTGGGGCAGCTCTGGAGACTGCAAGCACAGCTGGCACTGCGTGTGCCCTGAGAACAGAGCTCCTCTGCCAGCCTCTGACCCCTGACTTCCAGTGTAAATTTAAGAGACATGCTGGAATCAGGGATCAGGGTGCCTACAGGGGTGGCTCTGGAACATCTTGCAGCACAAGGATCCTTCTCTGGGGAACATCCAAGCACATCCCAGCCTGTTGCCTGCTGTGCTTTGCCTCGCTGGGTTTTGCAGTGATGCTCTCACGCTGCCCCTTCTCCTGCCACTTCCCAGAGTTTCCCTTTCATTTTCACTTTCAGGTCCCACTTCCCAGCACCCAGGAGCCCCACTGGCTCTTGTTAGCCAAGGTTGCAGGAGGGACACGCTGCAGCCTTTCCCTCTGCCCAGGACTGCTCCCATTCCCACCAACAGCAGACAGCCCACAGCATGGAATCATGGAATCATTAACACTGGGAAAGACCTCAGAGACCATCAGGTCCAACCATTCCCCCAGCACTGCCAAGCCCACCATTTAGCTACGCCCCCATACGCCACATCCACACGTTTCTTGAACACTTCCAGGGATGATGAGTCCACCACTTCCCTGACACAATCACCACCTGCTGGAATCACCATCTGCTGCATTTCCACCACTTCCCCGGTGGAATCAGCATCACCCACTGCTGCTGCCCCACTGCCCCATTTACTCTGTCCTTGGGGACCAGCCCCTCAAAGTCCCTGGAAGGCAGCTGGCCCTGGACACACATCACGGAGCTACCCCTGAGACAGCTCAAGGGATGTCACCTACCTGTTGTCCTGAGCATCCAGGTGACACGCTCATCCCTCCACCACGGCTGCCAGGAAAGTGCCCCGGGTCGAGCTCTCCCTGTGGTCGGTGGCTCGGCTGCACGGCTGGAAAACCTGGGGATGCCAAACCCATCGCTGGTGGGTCTGTGCCAGCCCGGTGCTGGGATCCCTGAGCCGGGGATACCTCCTGGTATCCAGGGTGTCCGCCCTGAGCCGGGACCTCTGAGCAGCGGGGTCCCTGCTGGGATCCCGGAGCTCTCCCTGCACCCGCAGGGATGGAACAGGGATGGAACACCCAGAGTACCCACCTTTCCCATTCACCAAAGCTGGGATTTTCAAGAACTGGAAAGCTGAAAGTGTTACAACCCAGTTGCCCATAGTTGGTGTGTCCACAGCTGAGCTGCTCCATGTGTTGATGCTCCATTCCCATCTGCCCACAGATCCCTGCAGAAAAGCCTCCACAGAGAGGAGTGCTCTCCTGGCACTGTGAGGGAGCTGAGCTGCTCCTCATGGTTTTTGGGCTTTGTGCCAAATGGCACAGCTCAGGGAGCCTGTTGGTTTCCCAAAGCCCTGCAGCAATCCCTGTGCACGTCCTGTTCCCAGCACAGCCACAACTGGGGCTCAGAGGAGTCCCAGGATCCAGGGCAGTCAACACCTCCCACTCAGCTGAGCTGTACCTGAGCTCCCAGCTCTGCTGTGGGGAGTTGGTATCTCTGGGCCTCATCTCTCCCTCCCAGCCTGGCGTGTGCCAGGCAAACTGGAGGGTGGGAAGAAACACTCCACCCCCCACCCACATCAAAATGGTCTTACCTTTGCTTTGCAACGAGTCCAGCTCTCCTGGCAGGGAGAATGTGGCTTTCTGGGTACTGCTGATAAAGCATTGATTGTCCCCAGGGTCAGGGGGAGGAAGGAGCAGCTGTGTGCTCCCTCCAGCTCTGACTGTCCTTTCTTTGTGCGCAGGAGGAGCAGGACCAGGATCAGCCAGGAGTGGAGGTAAATGTTTGTCTGCAGCTCCATTAGTGTGGAGGCCAGGGCTGTGTTCCCGTGGGAGCCCTCCAGGAGCCTCTCTGGGCTGTTTGAACCCAACTTCATTGTATTTTCTAAAAATAACCTCCTTTTCTTCCTGCCCTGCTCATCTCCACAGCCTCCATTAAACCAGAGCTGGCTCCATGGATGTTTGTCCCTTGTTTTTGCCTCTGGAGGTGCTGGCACCCCCAGGAGAGGTGGCTCTGGGCTGGAGGATGACACAGTGTGCAGGGCAGGTGGTTCTTTAGTTTGGAAGTTTCTTTACCTCTAAAATTGCTTCCAATTTTTCTGTAATTACAGGCTGTGGGCATTGCCCAAGGCTGGGAATAAGTGAATTCCTTTAAATTCTTTCATGAAGGAGGATAACGGTGTCTGTCAGGGGGGGAGCTGATGGTGACCCTGTGAAGATGTAACGTTTGGGGGTCCCAAAACTAAGATCCATCCAATGATGATTTGACCCCATCCTCTTCTCCCACCCCCCAGCCTGGCTGAGCAGAACTGTTACCTTGTGGAGGGGAGGAAGGGCAGGGACTGGGAGTCAGGATAAACCCATGGGATCTATCAGGAATTACAGCACAGGAATTGTTCTAGAAGTCCAAGTTTTTAATTGTTTTTTTGAAGACAGCTTAAAACATGATTCTCCTGCTTCCCCACAGCAGCATGGCCCGTTCCTGTCCTCCATGTCCCCTCAGAGCTGGAGCAGCCAAGGCAGCCCTGCCCTTCTCTGTGTCCCTCCACCCTTGGGGCTGCTCCAGGGGAGTTCCACAGGTACAGACATGGCTGGGAACAGGCTCAAGTACTTTCAGTTACACTCTCAGGGCAGAATATCTGCTACCTAAGGTTCACAATTGAAGTTCCACAACATAAAAGAGTTCCAAAAAACCAAACTACAGCCAAGCAGAGAGGAGTGGTACTTTGACATCTCGAGGTTTACGACAATTTATCGACTGAAAACGGACAATTTCCCAACCCTGCTTCTCTGACCTTAAGCATTTGTGGCAAAATGTTAAGCTGTGGATTACAACAGGACCTGCAGCCTGGCCTAAAGCAACACTCCATGGTCATGGCGTGCTCAGCATTCCCTGTGCAGCCTCCAGAGTCCCCAGCTCCTGGACTGGGGACTCTCCCACACGTGTCTCCACAGGCTCAGGGTGGCCTCACACCCACCTCAAGGTGCACAACCCCAGAACTAGTTTCAGCTTAGGCTCAGGCTACATCTCCACTTGCATTAAATACATTTATTGCAAACATCTTGACACAAAAATAGGTTCTCTCTAGGCCATTCACATGCAACGTAAAGGTGAGAAGCGACTACCTAGTACGACACAGAGGTTTAACCTACACACCTTTAATGTTCGGATCGTTTCCCCCGGGGCTGCCCCAGGGCTCAGGAGCCAGAGGTGTTGTTGCTTCCGAAGCGCTGGTTGACACTGTGCAGCAAGTGCTTGGGGAGGCAATTCCAGGAACTGGCCAGCATCTCCTTGAAGCAAATCACTGCTTCGAGGCACAGCCTGGGAGAGGGGAGACATGGATGCTGTCAGCAGGGGTAAGGCTGCAAGGGAAGCTCGTTCCTTGGAGATGGTTCTCTTCAGCAGTGCCAAACACGTGCTGAGAGGAATCCTGCTCCATCCTCACAACTGGCTGCTGCTCTGGTAGCATTCCTTAGGAGAAGGGCTTTCCAGTATTTTAGGAACATAAAAAGGTCTGGTGGTACCCCTACACCACTTATCCTAAAATCACAGAATGGTTTGGGTTGGGAAGGACCTTAAAGCTCATCCAGTTCCACCTCCTGCCACAGGCAGGGACACCTTCCACTAGTCCAGGTTGCTCCCACCTGGCCTTGGGACACTTCCAGGGATGGGACAGCCACAGTTTCTCTGGGCAACCTGTGCCAGGGCCTCACCCTGCTCACAGTAAGGAATTTCTTCCTGACATCTAAGCTGGGGACACGAGAGTTTAATGTTGAAGTCTTGCTTTCTTACCTTACGAGAGATCTTGGTTGTAGGGAGAACACAAGGATTTCGTTACTGTGAGCCTGGGGGTGGGGACAGAGAGAGAGAGAGAAGAAAATGGGTTATATGAGTTCACACTGCTACAGCAGGAGCCAACCCAGCTCAGGCTCACCCACACAGATCATGGAATCAAGGAATCACAGAGTGGTTTTGGTTGGAAGGGATCTTAAAGCCCATCTCCTTCCAAACCCCTGCCATGGGCAGGGACACTTCCACTACAGGAAGTCTTCAGGTTTCCAAGCCTTCAGGCATCTGCACTGAGGGACTCTGGACACAAGCAAACCATGTCCTCCTCAGGTTTTGTTTACGCACCTCTGTGATCCCCACAAGATCCCAATGCCAACTACAACCACCTCAACTGGCTGGAGTGAGCCAGCACCAGGAAGGGAACGCTCCAAGTCAACTTACAGCTTTGGAGTGGGCGAGCAGGTTGTTGGCACAGCCCCCAAACACAATCACCTCTCCCTCCTCGCTGGCACAGGCCGTGTGCCACAGCCTACAAACAGAAGGCAGCACTGCATTAACCCAAAAAACCCAGCTCAGCCTTCTCACTGCCCCAGGAAGATCCCTCCTCATCCCCAGGAGCACTGAAAGCCAGGCCAGGAAACATTGCTGCTTTAACTCATTAACCTGGATCAGAGCACTTCCCAAACAAGATGGATCCCAAGAACTCCAAGATGTGTTTTCCATGCCCCACATGTGCACCACAGAGGTTTTTGATGCTTTAAATTGCAGGTCATCAACTCTTATTTACTCAGCAGGAAGCCAGAATCATCCTGGGTGTGCACGGGCTGAGCCACTGGCTCTGTGACACCAGCCCATGCCCAGTTTGCTGGGACAGCAGGGACACACTGGTTCCACTTAGCTCTGCTGCTGGCAGTCACAGGCCTCTGCAGCCAAATCAACCCTAAATACCGAGATCAACCCCCAAATTCCATGTTTCCCGCCATTTCACAGACACTGAGCCAAAGGCTGCCTCCAGCACCCGCCCTGTGTGGTGTTCACCTGGAATTCTGGGAGCACAACACACCTGCACCTCTGGGACACATGGAAAGCAAGAGCTGTGGAGAGGAACGTGTATCCTGTCTCTCACAGCCACCACTAAGTGCTTCCACACTCCTTTTATAACAAGTTTCCAGGAAATTGTCTGCCATACCTTGGTTTTTCGGAATAGTTATGCTCAAACTGTATCCACTCGTTCTTGCTGATACAATAAATCCAAGCATCACCTGCAAACAAGCAAAGTCCCAAATATAAACAGGATTCCATTGGTTCTGTCAGATTTCCAGCAATAAACACGTACTCCAGTGGAGCACAACCCATTTCTGTTCCTAAACAAATCAAGTATTTTAGGAAAAACCTTATAAAACATTGGCTCCTGTTTGACAACAGGTGTTTAATGTAACAGAGGTTTATAGAAGTGAAGATGGAGAACTGTAAAGCTCCTACTAACTGCAATTTGCATTAGATACACTTGTAGAGCAGATGATTTGCTATAAATAATAGTGTCTCCAAACACTCCACATCCTCCTCTGTGGAATTAGCTGCTGGCCGTGAGGAGATGGATCACAAGTGCACAGGAGGAATTTAGAAGGAATTCAAGCAATAATTCAAGCTTCTGTGCGCAGCTGTTCAAGAGCACAAAGACAACACCAAATCCCTCTGGAATGACTTACTCAGTGGCTGCTTGTCTGTGGTGAATCCTCCAAAGAGGAAGAGGTGATCCGAGGAAATCGGTGTTAAGGAATGCCACGACCGGCCGACCGGGCAGATGCCTTGTGTGAGTCTGGATTGCAATGAAAACACCCCCAATTACACAGGAGGGACAGTAAAATCCCACTGCTCTTTTCTGCTCTGGTTGCTTTTCAGGGATCTGCACGATTCAGCTTCGCCCTGTGCATCTGACCCAACAAGTTTAATTTCTTTAGACACAGCAAAGAACTTTAGCGGATCAAGTTTTAGTACCCACATTTCGTTCCACTCCCAAGTGTCCAGGTCCAGGTAGTAAAAGTCGTTCATCCTGGACTCCTACAACAAAGCAGATGGTGGTTCAGATACCCAGCTTAGGTTTGAGCATCCCAGGGTTAAACTGGGCTGGGCTTACCCTGTATCTGCCTCCGAACACGTAACCCCTGTTCCCAACTGTGGCACAGGCGTGAGCGGCTCGAGGGGACGGGGTTTTACCCTGGGAAAGGAAACAGTGACACCATAAACCAAGGAGAAAAAAGGCTCAGAGAAACTCAGATTAAAGGCCAACAAAGAACAGAGTGAAAAAAAAACCAGCCAGTAAGTCATTCTGTGCGCAGACTCGCTTTTTGACAGACGGAGGATCAGCAAACTCATTAAAAATGGGATTTATTTTTTTCCCTCTTGAAGTGTATAAATTGTGCTTTTAGCCACAAAAGACAGACTGTAAATGAGACAGTGGCATAATAAATCATTACATGCATAAATCATTAAGTGTCCAAGGCCAATGTGGACGGGGCTTGGAGCCATCTGGGCTAGTGGAAGGTGTCCTGGCCCATGGCAGGGGGTTGGAACTGGATGGGCTTTAAGGTTCCTTCCAGCCCAAACCATTCTTAGATTCTATGGTTCTATTAGATGTTATTTTCCTTGAGTTTCTGAAATCCTTGAGGCCTGTGTGCAGTAAGACAAAGCAATTCTTTGGCAATCTGGGGTTACTTGTCTCAAATTTCATTTCCTCCAGCTCCGTGGCAATAGCACCCCTTTTTCCCTGTTCCTGAATACTTCAGGGACACTTCAAATGTGTGCATTTGCAACTGGGAGTGTTTGATTCTATCTTGGCCACACTTCAGCACCCAAGTGACACGTCCCAAAGGCTCACATTGCAGGGAGGGTGACAGCAAACCACACATTTCATTCTCTGGAGCTCCCCGTGAGCACAAGGCCACTGGAGCGTGAAAGGAAGCAAGTCACAGGGAAAAGAAAAAAAAAAAGATGATGACAGATCAAAAGAAAAGGTAAATTTCCTGGTTTTGGAGAGTGGATCTGTGTAGATGTATGGTTTAAACAGCTCCAAGAGCACTACTGTGTAATATTACTGAGCTGTAACTTAATTAATTGACACAAGACCAATAATTACCATAGTTATGGGCTGGCTCCAAGTGAAAGTCTCAAGGTCCAGAACATGCACGTGGTCATTCCACCCTCTGGGAAGACCTGAATTCTTTGAAAATCATAAATAAGCAACAGGTTTTAATAAGCACTGATTAAATATTGAAGTTGAAGTAGAAATGACTTCCAGGGTTACTTACCCAAAAAGAGGTCTCATCGAATTCAAAGGTTCCCCGTTGTTTCCCTTCAGGAAAATAGCCATAACCTCCAAAAAATATCAGCCTGAAAGGAAACATGGACCAAGATCTGTGAGAAATCCTGTCACATCTCTTGGTGTAAATTAAAGTTCTGTAAAGGCTGTGCTCAAACTGGAAAATCAGAGAATCTCCTTTGGCTTCACTACTTTCAGTGCATCTACAGTGCAAGTTTTCCAGGTGTGGGGCCCCACTTCTTGCCTAATCGACCCTACCACCCACACTAAATCCCTCTGGAGCTGCTTCCCAGGCCTCAGGCTTCCAAGCTTTGCTCCAGTTCCAAATATATGAAGCCACCAGGGTGTGCTGCCTGGTCTCTGCACTTCAGCCTTCGCCATTAGGGCTCCCACAAGGCTCTCCTGGGGTTTAAATGGGATTCACCTTCCAGTTTTATCTTTGGGTTTTAGCCTCTGTAAGAAACCAATGGCATGGCTTTGCCAGGAATTCCTACTGGATTATGGAGTGATGGCAAACAATCTGCACCACCTAATTAAACACCCACAACTCAGATTTCCATCAGAACTGATCACATCAGGTATGGTAATGATGAGCTCTCTCTCCACACCAAGAACCTGAAAACCAGCACCATGGGCAATTTCATGGAATCACAGGATAGCCTGAGTTGGAAGGGACACACAAGGATTTTTCTCTTTCCTGGGTCTCTGCAGCAAATTCCACAGTAATTATCCTAACTGTGAGCTCTCTCTCCACGGAATGGCCAACAGCACAAGCTGCTATAAAGTTTACTCCAGAATCACCACAAAAATCACAAAATGGTTTGGTTCAGAAGGGACCTTATAGCTCACCCAGTCCCACTCCCTGCTATGGGCAGGGACACCTTCCAGTATCCCAGACTGCTCCAAGCCCCATCCAACCTGGCCTTGGACACTTCCAGGGATCCAGGGGCAGCCACAGCTTCCCTGGGAAACCTGTGCCAGGGCTTCACCACCCTCACAGGGGAGAATTTCTTCCCAATATCCCATCTCTCCCTGCCCTCTGGCAGTGGGAAGCCATTCCCTGTGTCCTGTCCCTCCATCCCTTGTCCCCAGTCCCTCTCCAGCTCTCCTGGAGCCCCTTTAGGTCCTGTAAGGGGCTCTCAGCTCTCCCTGGAGCCTTCTCTTCTCCAGGTGAACACCCCAACCAGCACCACAGTGAATGAATAATGAGAGGAGGGTGCAAAAGTCAACAACATTTTTGCCTTCAACACCTTGTCTCCCTCATCTTTCCCAAGGTTTGCAATGCCAAGAGGCCTTCTGGCACCTCTGGGACACGCTCCCAACTCAGTAAAAACACCACCAGCAGTTCATCCAACACATCCCTCGTTCTGGGCAACCTCGAGTCCTCCTTGAGTTTGAACAAGCAGCTCTTGTTCAAACAAAAAAGCAGAGCAAAGACATGACCTGGAGGGATGAAAGGGGAGTCCCCGTGGGGCCCTTACTTGTTCCTGTAGACCCACACCCCGAGTTTGTCCTTGGATGAGGGGGGCACCCCCTCACACTCCACTCGCACCCACTGCAGCACCTTGTCCGTGGATCTGGAATTCAACATGTAGAACTGGAGGAAATAAAAAAAAAAAAGAAATGTTTAAACTTTTCTTTTTTTTTTTTCAATCCGAATTTGTTCAAAGCTTCAGTCTGACCGGTGTTATAAGAGTAACTTTTAATTAACGTGCATTGGCAAAGGAAGAGAAATAATGAAAAGTCCTTTTCTTGGCTGAAAACTGGAGCGCTGAAAACATTTGGAACAAAATATGGATTCACAAATCCTTTATCCTTTGCAGATTCAAACGCTTTTTAAACAAGTAACAGGTTATGAACACTGAGTTTCACCATCCAGAAGCTGAGGTGGGCTACACTGAAAGTGTGCACAGAATAACAATTGTCTCATAATTCAAAAATTGGTCAAAAGAAATCGAAAAAAGTGGGGTTTGTTATAGTGTTGTCCCTTCTCTGCATGTTGCATCCTTTTACAGGGAGAGAAATAGCTGCTACACATGTATAAAAGAACTGAAATGTAAGAATGCCAGAGCAGGAAGGAAGTCACACTTTATAAAGGTAGTTTGTTTCAAACTGTCTGCAAAAACTGCATCAAGCTCCTTCCAGTTTATGGTTATATATTTAAATATGTAAGTCTATATTTAAATATATGTCTATATATAAGCTATATATTTAAATATATAAACTATATGTTTATGCAGGCCTAAACTATTTAATTTAAACCACACTGCCACAACATCAGAAAATATTATTAATTAATTGTAGTTGGCAGGGTGGGGAATTGGTCACAGGTTGGACTCGATGATCTTGGAGGTCTTTTCCAACCTTAGTGATTCTGGGATTATCAGAGACTCCAGAGAAGAGAAACATTTAAACCACCACAGAGCAGCTCCAGATCCCCTCCTGATATTATTTCAGGCAATTCCCATCTTTCCAAAGCAGCAAACTCAGAGGCACGGGGTGAGTTTATGGGGTGAATTGCACAAGACCAGAACAAATGCCAGGTCAGGGTGTTCCTGTAAAGCTTCCAGGGCACAATCCCCATGGGAAATGATGGAATAAACGGATTGCTGACCTTGTTTGTGTTGCCCCGTGCGTGGTGCCCTCCAAAGAGATACACCACTCTGTCCACACACACAGCACAGCTCCCAGACATGGAGGGGGGAACATCTCCCTCTGTTTTGCTCTTCTTCCTAAAAGAAGGGTGTGAAATATTTCACCTGATCAAAACGAGACATGAAGGGTTTTATCTGGAGCGGAATTTTATGACACTGTCAGTGTGGTTTGAGTTCCAACTGTGGACACTCAGTCATGAGTTCTTCACACCTCTGCAGGTGAAAACATTTAAAAAAATTAAGCTGGGATGATGGAGGGGGTGAGGAAAATGTGATTTAATTAATACATGGGGTTTTTTGAGGGGAGTGGGAATCCTGTCTGCCCAGCTCAGGAGTTTGGAATGTTCCAAATCCTCAGGCAAAGAGGAAGCGCCCGCCTAAACTGCAGGTTTCTGTTTTGCTACTGGATTTTTCCTGTTTGTAAACATCACAACCACAGAGGAGCTTCCAGCCCCTGTTCAAGGCTGTCCCTAATCTCAGGGAGGGCTGGAAGCACGGCTGAAATCCCACTAAGCACTGAGGAGTTTCTTTGGCTGCATCAATGTTTAAAAACAACTCCTTGAGAGAACAACAAATTAGAAAACTCAGCAGGGGTTCCCTGAGTACCACTGCCATCAAAAGTGGTACAAATACAATTCCCATGTGCTGTGTCCTATCCCAGGCATCCCAAAACACTTCACACTGGTGATCACACACTCCTGTCCAGGCTGTCTGTCCAAGCTGCCTCTCCTACTTCACTCTGGGAAAACATATCTGATGTTTTTACAGGAAAAACCCACCCAAACCTGAAATATTCTACACGTTTTTGCAACAGTTTGATAGGTGGGAACGAAGGATTCAGGGAATTCTTTCCCTGCTCAGCCCCTCAGAATGGTTTCTATACCAATTTAAGGATTTATTTGATTTTTTTCCCCAAATTAAGTTAATTATTTACTGTACCATCTTCCAGTTTCCATGTTGTAGATCCATATTTCATCCCTAGGCAGGTAGAAGTCATAAAATCCCCGAACTTGGGCATTCTGCAGAACAGGACAGAGGAGAAAACGGAATGTTAGAAGGATGTCTGACACATGGAACTACAGACTCCTGGGAATGTTCACACCCCCTCAGAGATCTAATCACAGGCCAGAACAGGGCAGGAGCAGTGCCTGTTGCACTCCTGTGCCTCCCACCCACACAGAGAGCAGGACTCAGCCTAATTTAGTGTCTGCTGGAGACCACATGAGCTCCCAGGGGGGTAAATGGAAGCTAAACCTCTGTTTTACAGCCCAAACCAGGGGGCAGAAACGAGCCAAAATTTCCTTCTTAATTCCCCCACCCCCTGCACGACACCAATCTATGACTGAGCTCACTGACAATTCACCTTTGCTGTCAAAACTGCAAAATCATTTTGTGCTGCAGCACACGCACACTCCCCCCCCCTCCCCCCACCAGCGTGACACCGACCGACCTGGGATCTTTCACACCCAAAATACAGCTGTGCTGACAATGCTGGAACACCATCACCCCTCCCACGGTGCACAATTCCAATCAGACAATATTCCCTACGCCAGCTGCCAAACAACACCCCGCTCCCCCCTCCCCCCCAAAAGTCATCTACGTGCCAAGGTTTGACACGCTCGTGATTTATTCCGAGCGTTGCAAAACACCTCAGTGCCAATGTTATAATTTGTCAACTTGGGAGGGATTTTGACTTCATAGAATCATAGAATAGATTGGGTTGGAAAAGACCTCCAAGATCATCAAGTCCAACCCCTGATCCAACTCCAATTACTATATCATGGTACTAAGGGCCACGTCCAATCTCTTTTTAAAAACCTCCAGGGATGGTGAATCCACCACCTCTCTGGGTAGGGCCGTTCCAATGCCTGATAACCCTCTCTGTAAAGAATTTCTTCCTAACATCTAACCTAAACCTCCCCTGGCAGAGCTTGAGCCCATGTCCCCTTGTCCTGTTGTTGGTTGCCTGGGAGAAGAGACCAACCCCCACCTGGCTATAACCTCCCTTCAGGTAGTTGAAGAGAGTGATGAGGTCGCCTCTAAGCCTTCTCTTCTCCAGACTGAACAACCCCAGCTCCCTCAGCCTCTCCTCATAGGACTTGTGCTCCAGTCCCTTCCCCAGCCTCGTTGCTCTTCCCTGGACCCGCTCCAGCACCTCGATATCCTTCCTGAACTGAGGGGCCCAGAGCTGAACACAATACTCTCAGAGCAACGCTCCCAGAGAGCAAGGGGATGGCAGGAGGGTTATTCCAGGAGGAGCTGTACCTTGTATCCTCCCCAGACGTACATGCAGCGCCCGTCGGTGACGGCCACGTGCCCGCTGCGCTCGGCGGGGCTGTCGTTCTCCAGCTGCTCGAAGCCGTCCTCGGGTGGAGCCGGGAGCTCCTCGTCCGCCTGCAGCTCCTCGTTCTCATCCGCCATCTCGGGACGTGCTACACGGGCACACAGAACCAGGGGGGTTATGGAATATCCCGGGAGGGAACCCACACGGAATCGTCCGGTCCGGCTCTTAAAGCGAATGATTGGTAGGTTTGAGCCAAGGCCTGTGTTTTCTATAAAACACTTAAAATCTTACCCATACAAATCTTACAGAGTAAGAATTAAAAATTTAAAAAAAAATTAAAATCATACCTATAAACACGTTAATTGATTTGCCCAGGGAAGCTGCGGCTGCCCCCGGATCCCTGGAAGTGTCCAAGGCCAGGCTGGACGGGGCTTGGAGCAACCTGGGCTGGTGGAAGGTGTCCCTGCCCGTGGCAGGGGGGTGGGACTGGGTGAGCTTTAAAGGCCCTTCCAACCCAGACAGTTCTGGGATGTCAAAAATCGAATAAATTTGGCAGCTTTGCCTCCAATACCGTTTTCACGAAATTGGAAACTCACGGACCTTTTCCAACAAAGCCCTTTTGGGCCCAAAGTCCCAAGTCGTGTCTCCCACATGCAAACCTTCCCACAGCTGTTCAGCGCAGGACATGCCACCTACCCCACACAAAATTCCACAAAACCAACCCCCCTGCTGCCAATCCCACCAGCACGCAGAATTCCCAGACCCCAGTGTCCCTGGAAGACACTGATCCGAAGCTCAGGGGAGCCGGACAGCCGAAATTTGTGCAACCAAAGCCAGGGAAAAGGTCCTGCAGTGGCACCACCACACCCTGCACTCCCGGGTTGGACATTCCAGGTCAGATATCCCGGGTTTGATATCCCGGGTTTGATATCCCCCTACGCCGCTCCTGAGGGACTCCCGTTTAATTTTAATTGTTTCTGTGATTAAACCACCACCTTCGGGGGGGTTATCTCCGAGCTTTAATTACGCTTCACATCAGAAAGCCTTGCTCCGCAGCTCCGTGAGACCTGCCTGCTTCGGGCTAGCGGGGTGATAATATATATAATACACAGATATATTTTATATGAGGTGTATTATTGATGTTACCCCTCAGACACGCTGGGCCACGTCCCCTTCAGCCATTTCCGAGCCCCCCTCGGGTCGCTGCAGCCCCACACCCCGGCGGGATGTCGGGGTCTCCTGCCGACACCACCCCCTGTCGCGACATACCTCACAACGGGACGGGCCAGGCGGGGGCTCCTCCCGACACGTCCCGCTGTCGCGACATGCCCGGCACCGGCCCCAGCGCTGCCCGCCGCCGTTACCGGCCCGGCCCGAGCCCGCCCCGCGCCCCGGCTCCCTCAGCGCCCTCGGCCCGGTCCTACCGCGCTGTCGGGGCTCCTCCTGAGCCCCCCGACCCCACCGACGCTCCGGGGCTGCCCCTCCGCCGGCCCCTCCTCCCTCAGCGGCCGCCCCCCAACATCCGCCGGGCGGGACGGACCTTCCGGCGGCACCGCGCAGGCGCCGGGACCCCGAAAATCACCCCTGGGGCACCCGGGCCTTCCGAAATTAACATGGAGGGGCACCTGAACCTTCCAAAATTAACCTGGAGGGGCACCTGAACCTTCCAGAATTAACCTGGATGGGCACCTGAACCTTCCAAAATTAACCTGGATGGGCACCCGGGCCTTCCAAAATTAACCTGGAGGATACCTGAGCCTTCCAGAATTAACCTGGAGGGGCACCTGAACCTTCCAAATTAACCTGGAGGGGCACAGGAACCTTCCAAAATTAACATGGACGGGCACCTGAACCTTCCAAAATTAACCTGGAGGGGCACCTGAACCCCCTACAATTAACCTTGGGGATACCTGAACCTTCCAAAATTAACCTGGAGGATACCTGAGCGTTCCAAAATTAACCTGGATGGGCACCTGAACCCCCCAAAATTAACCTGGAGGGGCACCTGAACCCCCTACAATTAACCTTGGGGGGGGATACCTGAGCCTTCCAAAATTAACCTGGATGGGCACAGGAACCTTCCAAAATTAACCTGGAGGGGCACAGGAACCTTCCAAAATTAACCTGGAGGGGCACCTGAACACCCTACAATTAACTTGGGGATACCTGAACCTTCCAAAATTAACCTGGATGGGCACCTGAACCTTCCAAAATTAACCTGGATGGGCACCCGGGCCTTCCAAAATTAACCTGGAGGATACCTGAGCGTTCCAAAATTAACCTGGATGGGCACCTGAACCCCCCAAAATTAACCTGGAGGGGCACCTGAACCCCCTACAATTAACCTTGGGGGGGGATACCTGAGCCTTCCAAAATTAACCTGGATGGGCACAGGAACCTTCCAAAATTAACCTGGAGGATACCTGAGCCTTCCAAAATTAACCTGGAGGGGCACCTGAACCTTCCAAAATTAACCTGGATGGGCACCTGAACCCCCTACAATTAACCTTGGGGGGTATACCTGAACCTTCCAAAATTAACCTGGATGGGCACAGGAACCTTCCAA